TTTTGCATGATGAAAAATCAATTCGTTGGCGAAGGTAGCTTGGCCTGACAAATCAGTTTGTCGGGAAAACTCCAATTCATATAAAAACTTCTTCACATTGTTATTTGTCGTCATTATATACCAAGTTTCTTGTCAACATATGATAAAAAATACTACCAACCAGCTTTGATATTCGGCTTACACCCTAGCAAAACTTGAACAATATATTACTATTATTGATGCTACTTGGACATACCAAATCGACACTTGTGTTGACACACTCTCCAATATTAGGTGAGGGGTAGTATTAAGGAGACCAACTTTTTAAACTAAATTTTGTAAACTATATGACATGGTTGTTAATGATTGGATGATTACTTATGTGTTGATTAACGTGCTTATATTTTGTTAGTGACACATCATATGATTTGCATATTTGGTTTAAAAAGTTTGTTTACCTAACATTACTAGGTGAGACCCACATGCAATGTTAGAGCTCACGTCTATATATAAAGCCAACACAAAAGGTGAATAGTATTTTTGGTGTCACCAAGCTTCAACAAAAATATTTGGACAGAAATGGCACCAAGACTAAAAAACTTGAAAGGCATCGCAAAATAATGCGTCAAATAAGGTAGGGGTATTTTTGTCATTTTAACAGTATTTTTTAAATAATTAATTTTTTTGTGCTGTGTTTGTTTTTTAATTAGTACCTCACAATAGGCTAGCAATAATGTGATTCAATTTCTCTATTTTTAAACACGTTCAAAACATCTTAAGAGGTGTGTAATGCTGGTTATAAAAAGGGTCTTTGGTATGCGGATAATAATGTGATTAAATTAGTTGTCAAATGATTTTTTTTTTTTTAACAAACGATATTATCTACACTAAAAGGGAGGGGGTGGGCTTAGCCTTACAATAGGCTAGCAATAATGTGATTCAATTAGTTGTTTATTAAATATTATTTTCTCTATTCTTAATGTAAATTCTATAGAGACCGATTTTATTATATGGATTCAACAGCTTTAATTGGTTTATGAGGGGTTTCTTCTAGTATAATCTAAGATTATTCATTTGCTTCAAATATTTGACTTTTCTTTTGTCAATTTACACATATAAATACATTTAAAACGTGTAGGTCACACATAGCACTCCATGATTCAAAAAATGTCATCTACACGCGCCTGAGCACGTGCATGAAGGCTAGTATGTTAGAAAATATGTGAACAAGTATGTTAATTTTGTCTGTTCAAATAGTTTTATTGTACTATTATATAATAGAACAATCTGTTGGAACCCTATTGGACACTAAACTTATCTCATTTAGGTTTTGTGTTTAATGGAAACTGAGAACAATTAGAGTTAATAGGTGAATAAACTTCTTCCTTTAAAGTAGGACATTAAGGGTTAAACATGTTGGTGAGTGGATATCCCATGTTGGAGCACTATAGACGTGTGTTTTGAACAAACCGTTTTCCTTGATAGGAAGAACTTGTTATGGTTGCACGTTTATAAAAAGGATAGGTCCCTGCTCAAGAGGAACACATTCATATATCAGAAAATCTAGCCCTATTTTAGAAGAACATCAGGTCCTCCTTGAGTAGAAGATTTCCTTTTCTTTCCCTGCGATCAATGGCTTCACAAGGTCAGAACTAAAATCACAGTACTTGATGAATGTTCGTAATCTATGTTTGCGGCTATATTAAATTCCAACATTTGGTATCAGAGCATATAATAGCTCTTCATAGATTCTTTGATGCTTTTAAGGAAGTTTGCTTAATTGATTTATTCATCTTTTCGCGTTTTACTAATGATTTGGTTTCTTAAGTATCACAAGTACAGGAATGGATCTTGCGCTAAGATAATTTAAGTTCCAACCTTAACATCATTGAAGGATACATGCGGATAAAACCATTTAAAACAAATATTTGTAAAGCTAGTTGGATTTGTAAGTCATGACATGATAATGTACTACTCCAAAGAGAAGAGGGTTAACTAGTTGGATTTGTGAATCAGTACATAGGTTTTTAATGAATGTTTGAGCCAACTATTTTCTTATCCAAAGATTTGAAATATGTGTTGTAACTTAAGTATTTGTTAGAAGGGCTATGTAATTAGGATTCATATGGTTTTATGTGCATAAAACTGCAGTAATGTATCTTGCCCAAAGGTGTTGCATATACTGTGATAGTTGTAACATTGTCAACAATGTTGTTTAACTTTTATTTGGTTTGACAGTGAATGCAAATGCCCCGAGCTTTTCCTCCATTGAACCACTTAATGGAGGGAATTTCAAAAGGTGGAGACAGGATGTAAGGATCGTGCTTGGCTTGATGGACTATGACCTTGCACTGAGGGAGGATTAACTACCTGCTATGACAGCGAACAGCACTGCAGAGCAAAGGTTGAAGTCTGAGAAATGGGAGAAGTCAAACCGAATGGCTCTCATGGTCATGAAAAGGTCCATCATTGACTTCTCAAAAGTTTGATGGCAAAACAAGTGTCAGGGAGCATATACTAAAAATGGTGGAGGTTGCAACCAAGCTCAAGGATCTAGAGGTGCCAATTGATGATTCCTTTGTTGTTCACATGGCTTTCTCATCCCTTCCTGAGTCATTTGAACAACTTAAGGTGTCATACAATACTCAAAAGGAGAAATGGAGTCTCGATGAGATGATTTCTATCTGTGCACAAGAGGAGAGCAGGCAAGGGTGCGGTGGTGAATCTTGTTGACTACAATGCAAGTAAGAATCCTATGGTGAATGCTGGTAAGCAGACTAAGCTTTTTAAAACCTCCACTACTACTACCAATGTTGCTTCTTCCTCTACAGGACCTCAAAACCTTAGGCCAAATTTGGAGAATGTGAAATGCTTTTTTTGCAAACAATATGGACATTTGAAAAGGGACTACGAGAAATGTAAAAAATGGGCAGTGAAGAAAGGAAAAGGTACAAAGATTTTCAATGTTTTTGTTTGTTTTCAAACTTTACTTGTTGAAGCCCCTCCAAATACTTGGTGATTTGACACTGGTTGTTCGGTGCATATTACCAATTCCTTGCAGGGATTTTCAAGAAAAATGTCAACAAGTAATGAAGTCTTTGAAGTGCATGTGGGCAATGGGAATAAAGTGCCTGTGGAAGCAACCTCAAGTTGTCGTCAGGCTTTATTTTAGAACTTTTAGATGTACTTTATGTTCCTACTTTAACTAGGTCTTTAATTTTTTTCTTCAAGACTTGTAAAAGACGGTTTTGCTTTCGTTGGTGATGATGAAAGCATAAGGATCTTTATGAAAAATAATTTGAGTCAATTGCTGGGCGTTTGCCTTTTAGATAACGATTTATGGAAATTAGATTGTGTTGTCATGAATGATTTAAGTTGTTACACTTTAGACTCTTTTGTTCGAATGAAAAGGCCCTTATCAAATGATCTTTCTTCCATGCTTTGGCATAGAAGGTTAGGTCATATTTCAAAGAAAACACTGCAGCATTTGGTGCATGAAAATATTTTGCCAGCCTTGGATTTTAACGACTTGCATGAGTGTGGATTATTACAAGGAAAATTTAACTAAAACAAAAAAAAGGGATGTAACAAGAAGTAAAAAACTGTTATAAATAATTCATTCAGATGTTTGTGGTCCTTTTCTAGTTAAAACAATCTATGGAAGTATTTATTTTGTGACTTTTATTGATGATTTTTCAAGGTATGGAAGTGTCTCTCTAATTTCAGAAAAATCACAAGTCCCAAATTGTTTTAAAATTTTTAAAACAGAAGTAGAGAACCAATTAAACACTACAATTAAGGTTTTGAGATCGGATAGAGGAGGAGAATACTTTGGCAGGTTCACCGAGGTTGGGCAACAAAAGGAACCGCTAGCTATGTATACTTTGGCAGGTTCACCGAGGTTGGGCAACAAAAGGAACCGCTAGCTATGTATCTAGAAGAATGTGGCATCCAAGCTCAGTACACCACACTTGGGACGCCTGATCAAAACAGTGTGGCAGATAGGAGGAATAAGACATTGATAGAGATGACAAGAAGCATGATGAGCAGATCGGTTCTTCCTCAGTTTCTTTGGGGAGGAGCATTAAAGATGGAAAACTATATAGTGAATCGTGTCCCTAGCAAATCAGTGAGCAAGACACCTTTTGAACTTTGGACTTCGAGGAAACTAGTATGGGGTTGTAGGGCAGAAGCAAGAATATATAATCCACATGAAAAGAAACTTGATTCAAGAACAGTGAGTTGTCACTTTATTGGCTTTCCTGAGAGGTCTAAAGGATACAAGTTTTACGTTCCACACTTGCAGACTAGGGTTTTTGAGACTAACAATGCAAAGTTCATCGAGGAAGAAGTGAATGGTGATGAAAATGCAAGCAATTTTGTTTTTCAGGATCTTGGGAATCCCATTGATGTGTCGAGCAATAATGATGAAGAGAGTCAAAGCCTTGGAGAAACTATAGTTTTTTCAAACTTGTTTCTCATGGCCATCATATGAAAATAATGCTGCAGAGGGTCATCAAATAAATGAACCACAACAAGATGGACCAATAGTTGAACATAATGCTGATAAGTTGCAAACTACCTTGGAAGCACCAAGAAGAGCCTCACAAAGAATTCACAGATCAACGATTCCAGAAGATTATATCACTTACTTTTGTGAAGTTGAGCATGATGAAGGTATAATGACTGATCCAGAAACTTACATGCATGCAATTAAAAGTGAAAACTCTTTATCATGGCAGGGAGCAATGGAAGAGGAGATAAGGTCTATGCATTCTAATCATGTGTGGACCCTCGTAAAGAAGACATAATCTATAATACCCATTGGATGCAAATGGGTGTACAAAACTAAGAGAGATTCGAAAGGGAAGGTTCAAAGGTTCAAAGTGAGATTGGTGGCTAAAGGCTTCACTCAAAGGGAAGGGGTAGACTATAATGAAACATTTTCTCCTGTGTCGTCCAAGGATTCCCTACGGATAATCTTAGCACTTGTGGCACACTTTGACTTGGAACTACACCAAATGGACATCAAAACAGCGTTTTTAAATGGTGAATTGGAAGAGGAAATTTATATGAACCAACCTCCTGGTTTCATTGAAGAGGGCAAAGAACATCTAGTTTGCAGATTGAGCAAGTCTATATATGGTCTGAAACAAGCATCGAGGTAATGGTTTATGAAATTTGATGAAAAGGTAACTTATATTGGCTTCGCTAAGAATAAGGTTGATGATTGCATTTATTTTAAAAGCACTGGTTCCAAGTTCATTTTCCTTATACTTTATGTTGACAATATACTTCTTGCAAGCAATGATTTGAACCTATTGCTTGAAACCAAGTTGTTGTTGTCAAATACCTTCGATATGAAAGACTTGGGGGAGGCCTCTTTTGTATTCGGCATAGAGATTAAAAGAGACGGGTCAAGAAACTCGTTGGGGATTTCGCAAAGGTCATACATTGAGAAAATATTAAAACGTTTCAACATGGAAGGATGTTCAGGAGGAGAAGTCCCGGTGAGCAAAGGTGACAAATTGAACAAGGAGCAATGTCCTAAGAATGACTTGGAGAGGAAAACCATGTTGAACAAACCCTATGCTTCATTGGTGGGGAGCTTGATGGATGCTCAGGTTTGTACTAGACCTGACTTAGCTTACTCAATTAGTGTACTTGGGAGGTATCAATCAAATCCTGGAGAACAACATTGGGTGGCAGCTAAGAATGTAACGAGATATTTGCAAAGAACAAAATCATACATGCTTGTGTATAGAAATAGTGAAAATCTAGAGGTGGTAGGGTACTCTGATTCGGATTTTGCAGGCTGCACAGATGATAGAAGGTCCACAAATGGTTATTTGTTCTTCATGGCTGGATGAGCAATCTCGTGGAGAAGTGCAAAACAGAAGACACTTGCAACATCGACCATGCAAGCTGAATATAGTGGACATTATTTCAAGACCAATTGTTATACACTGCGACAACAAAGCTACTGTATTCATCTCTAAGAACAACAAGCAATCTTCTGTAAATAGACTGATGGACATCAAATATCGATCTGTTAGTGAGGATGTCAAAAGTGGTTTGCTGGTAATTAAGCATATTAACACTGGTTCGATGATAACAGATCCCCTAACCAATGGTTATTTGTTCTTCATGGCTGGATGAGCAATCTCGTGGAGAAGTGCAAAACAGAAGACACTTGCAACATCGACCATGCAAGCTGAATATAGTGGACATTATTTCAAGACCAATTGTTATACACTGCGACAACAAAGCTACTGTATTCATCTCTAAGAACAACAAGCAATCTTCTGTAAATAGACTGATGGACATCAAATATCGATCTGTTAGTGAGGATGTCAAAAGTGGTTTGCTGGTAATTAAGCATATTAACACTGGTTCGATGATAACAGATCCCCTAACCAAACCATTACCAGTTGCAGTGTTCAAGCAGCACGTTGCAAAAATGGGGGTACTAGAGTCTTTTGATTCTGTGACTGTGGGAGTAAAACTTAGTCTTGTCTTATTTGCTTGGTAGTTGTTTATTGCAATAGATGAATTCTAAATTTATTTCATGTACTGCTTTTGATTTGAGCTAGTAATCATTAATGAGACTTGGCTGAAAAGCTATGATCATATAAATGATATTTTTGCAATGAAGCTCGATTGTTTTTAAAAGCTTTTCAAGTGGCTATTTGATCCTACTTTTCAGCATGTAGAAAAGTTGAAGTTGGTTTGTTGTTAACTAAGGCAACGCTAAGGTAATGGGGAATCTAGTGGGAGCATACAGTAAAGCTCTCTTATAGCTAACATGTTTAAGCATCATACGTGAATAATTACATGTTATGGTGATTTCAGAGTGGCTGCACCATTTTGTGCAAACTTTTCTGAAGTTCTATGACTTGAGTCATTCATGGTGGATGTGTTTATTTATTTATTAACTCATGTGATCAATAAAGAATTGTTGTTAGTAGAAACATTGCTCAAAACAAAGACGATGAGTTTAGGTCCAAGTGGAAGAATGTTGGAACCCTATTGGACTCTAAACTTATCTCATTCAGGTTTTGTGTTTAGTGGAAACTGACAACAATTAGAGTTAATAGGTGAATAAACTTCTTCCTTTAAAGTTGGACATTAAGTGTTAAACATGTTGGTGAGTGGATATCCCACATTGGAGCACTATAGACGTGTGTTTTGAACAAACCGTTTTCCTTGATAGGAGGAAACTGTTATGGTTGCACGTTTATAAAAAGGATAAGTCCCTGCTCAAGAGGAGCACGTTCATATATCAGAAAATCTAGCCCTATTCTAGAAGAACATCAAGTCCTCCGTGAGTAGAAGATTTCTTTTTCTTTCCCTGTGATCAATGGCTTCACAAGGTTAGAACTAAAATCACAGTACTTGATGCATATTCGTAATCTATGTTTGCAGCTATATTAAATTCCAACACAATCCTTACATCTTGATGAAAATAAACAAACAAAAACTCAAAGAGTAATATGATTTGGATACACAAATTAACACATTTGTTGACATTCTCTAATACAGGTGCAGTGCACATATAGTGGTAAGACTGATCTCTATTGAAGAGTGCGTCACTAAGTGTGTTTTTAATTTTTCCTGATCAAACTATTCTACAACGTACTTTGTACAAGATAACAACATACTAAAGATGCTGCAGCTGGCTAACTAGTTATTTTTTTATAATTATATGCAGCTCTGAGGAGACAAATTCCAGAACAATAAAAGAGCACCGCGGTTATTCATCGTCTTGATTAGCTTCTTATTTTATTTATGTTTCAATCAAGAGATGTTCCTATGGGATTTGGATACTCTCCTGAGCTAATGGAGAGGATCCTCCTGACCAAGTGTTATGGACCGTTGGATTTTCATCCAACGGCTATAATTATATTAACTTTAAAAGGACCCACCTGTTTGTAGCCATTGGATAAAAATCCAACGTCTATAACACTTGGTCAGGAGGATCCTCTCCATTAGCTCGGGAGAGGATCCAAATCCGTTCCTATGGGTCGTAAAGCAAGATGTAAACGTAGAGTAGGTAAACCTCGTGTGTTGCAAATCTTTTACCTTTCGGGCAGAAAACAAATAAGAAAAAAGAGGAAAGTTTTTTGCTTGCTTCAAAATTCATATGTTAGTGTATTCAAATACACAATAAGGTCATCAATGCATTATGGCGCAGAATGTTGGACGGTCAAATATCAACGTGTACAAAGTGAGTGTGAGATGAAAATGCTTCATTGAATGTGTGAGTACACAAAAAACGATAGGATTAAGAATGAGGATATCTGAGGTAAAGTAGGAGCAGCTGAAATTGAAGATAAGATGAGAGAAAATCGATTAAGGTGGTTTAGACATGTGAAATAAAGACCTACATGCGCTTTGGTTAGAAGATATGATTACGAGACAGAAGCTCAGCGGCAAAGGGGTACACAAACATAAAATCACGTTGTCTTGAAACTTCAAGCATATAACATATTTGGGTGGACTAAATTGCGATTCTATGACACTGAATTCTACATTTTCTTCCGCATGCACTTGAACTTCCTTTAAATTCTCAATCGAGTACACCTAATTTCCAAGATTTCTGTGTGAACAGTACAAAATTCTGGCTTCAATTTTCACCTAATTTCCAACAAGATTTCTATGTGAACGGTACAAAATTCCTACTTCAATTTTCTCATCCAAACACATTGATTTTGTAACTTTTAGGTACTCTCATATTGCCTAAAAATTGAATGTGAAATCATGATCCTCACCAGAATACCAGACAATAAAGTAAGGTGGAGCATCGCTCAGGTTAGAAACCATGTAGATGCACTCATTTGGAAAGTAACAATTCGGGGAAATGGCTTGGAACGATAACGAAAAATTACACATCTCTGCATTTACATTTGACATCAAATATACATCACAGTATCTTCATAGGAGACAATATACATGATGAGCTTTTTATTTTAATCCGCACACAATTAGCTTTAAATTGGGAGCAGCCTCTCTATAAATGGGGGTAAGGCTAGCCGACATTCACCTCTCCCAGACACTGCGTAAAGCGGGAGCCTTGTGCACTGAGTACGACCTTACACAATTAGCTTTAAAATTGATAAATAACGTAGCAGTCGTATCCATTGCTGAATCATCTATTGGAAAAAAATCGAACTTACACACAACTTAGAGAAGGAAGCAATCTATCATATGGAAAACCACATCCGCACCATCAGAATTGAACCAATAACTCTTCACCTGTATGCATGAGGAAGTAGATAGACGTAAGAAAAAGAAAGCGCAAAACACAACACGCTTCGCTATGAACTTGTTACTACTACTTACTAGTACAGTTCGTTGGGAACTTCACATGTATAAAAAGGCTTAAAATCTATGAACTAACTTCAACTCAGTAGCATTCTGCCTATAGACTATCTCTGAGTTAAAATGCCGTCCTTCAATATTTGGTATAAAACAAAATTATGGGTCTACCACGAAAAGGAAGTGTTTGGACCTCTGAAAAATTTATAAGTTTAAAAAATGAGCTCACAACAAAGCATTTTATGTGTTTGTATATTCCACTAATAAAATCATACAAAGTGTAGAAAAGCCATAGGAACAGAGCCAACCAAAACTTGCCTGAATGGTATTATGAGCAATATATCGTTGTGTGCTTTTCTTAAAGCTAACATCCACGCGTTCCCAAGGTATCTGAGTAAGACCTCTAATCATCTCCTCTACACGCAGGAAGGGACAAATGCAATTTCAAACTGAAAGTAAAATTTGAATATATGAAATCGTAAAAAACAGTATTCTGTCATGAAGTCTAACCATCCCCGCCCAACCCTCATCTCCATCTGGGAGAAAGCCCAGGTCCTGAGTTTTTTCAATAGTAAAGACCAACCCAGCAGAGAAAGTTTGACAAACCTTCCAAGTCTATGTTAAAGTCTTGAGCACTTGACGATGCTTTAATATGAATATGATCAGAAGTTTCTCGCTTGATATATACAATATGTGGATATCTCTCATCGGTTACAAGGAGGTTGGACTGCAAATAGAATTGAACAAAAAAAAAGAAAAAAGAAAAAAGATCGAAGTGTGTTCGGAACCTTAACAGATAGGTACACCCTGAACAGGCATGCAAGACATGAAGTGAAGAGTAAACAAGCAAAACCTACCTTTGGAAGTTCATATTGACGCCGGATTGATGATGTTCTCCACCCAACCATATCTTGAAAATAAGTGAACATAAAACAAGATTTCCTCTGGTTCCAAAATGAAAATACACAAATATACCATAGATCCAAATTTTAATAGCAAATTAAACAGGAAAAAGGATACAATCATAATTTGCATTAGCATATGCCACACGACATTTAAATGCACGTAATGCTGATCTGTACAGGCAAGGAAAAGATTATATTACCATCTACAAAATGATTATAATTCAAATCTTTCATGAAATCGAGGAGTATTATGGACATACTAATACTAACATGAATTTTAGGTCATCACAGTCATTAACCATTCGAACAAGAAGAGGAGGTCTGCCATCATCATCGTCTGTTAGGAAGAGATGCTTCCCAGATCTCCCAGCAATAAAGTGTGCAGTTTGAGAAGCTCTTCTCTCGAGAAAAGGAAGACCACAGAGAAATGGGAGCTGCGAAAACAAAGTTAACAAATCAGATTCATGTTCACAGGACTCACATATTTTCTGCGAAGATTCTCTAATGTAGAATGGAAGTAACAAAAACATTAGGAATTCTTAAATTCGCAGCTACTTTTCATCACTACATACTCTATTACTCATCATTTGTGTGCGTAAATTGCTCAATTTTGTTTATCCATAGAAAATATAAAGAAAATAAACATATCCTACCTGTTTATTTCCCCATGAACCAAGATGTGGTGTTGCGACCGTTATAAAGTTCATTGCTTCCAGTCCAGCAATTGTACCATGGTGAGGTTGGTCAATGGATTGTGTCAAATTATTTGTATGCCCATCAATTACCCAATTACCATTTTGACACGACGGTTCTGATTTTGGAAAAGGTGCATACAGCCTTCCGATGGCATACCTTGCAACCAACCCACCTAAGGAATGAGCCACAAAGGATATTTTCCACACCTCAGACCTCTTTCTGATGACAGCTAATACCTGCATTCCTTTTAACTCTGTAATTTATGATTTGCCCATAGTTTCAAATAAATAACATTATAAAATTAAGATTTACCTTTGCAGTTTTCTTATACATTGTGAGTACCATAAGCGTTATTATGATTAAAAAAAAAATGCCCACGTTAGTATCATAAACCAAGGCATGCTATGTTAAAATATGCGGATTAATATTCTATTACCAAATACCTCTTCAGCTAGCCTCTCACCCATCAAGTCAACACCATCAAATGTCAATCTTGAAGAGCTACATTCACTACCTGCTGGAAAAATTCCACGTCAGAAACAATCATGTATTCTGGAAATAATATGATTCCTCAAGTAAATTTGCAGCAAACAAGGAGGAGCATGCATATTTGCAAGTTTGATCACTAATAGATATCAGATACAGAAGAGACTTGGAAAGGGGTTTTTTAAACATCTTTTATACTAAAGTCCATATAGGATTGTAGCATATGAAGCCAAATTCAAACTTGACCCTCCCCAACAACAACAACAACAACAAAGCCTTTTCCCACTAAGTGGGGTCGGCTATATGAATCCTAGAACGCCATTGCGCTCGGTTTTGTGTCATGTCCTCTGTTAGATCCAAGTACTCAAGTCTTTTCTTAGGGTCTCTTCCAAAGTTTTCCTAGGTCTTCCTCTACCCCTTCGGCCCTGAACCTCTGTCCCGTAGTCACATTTTCGAACCGGAGCGTCAGTAGGCATTCTTTGCACATGTCCAAACCACCGGAACCGATTTTCTCTCATAATTCCGTCAATTTTGGCTATTCCTACTTTACCTCGGATATCCTCATTCCCGATCTTATCCTTTCTCGTGTGCCCATACATCCCACGAAGCATCCTCATCTCCGCTACACCCATTTTGTGTACGTGTTGATGCTTCACCGCCCAACATTCTGTGCCATACAACATCGCTGGCCTTATTGCCGTCCTATAAAATTTTCCCTTGAGCTTCAGTGGCCTACGACGGTCACACAACACGCCGGATGCACTCTTACACTTCATCCATCCAGCTTGTATTCTATGGTTGAGATCTCCATCTAATTCTCCGTTCTCTTGCAAGATAGATCCTAGGTAGCGAAAACGGTCACTTTTTGTGATCTTCGCTAGATTGCTCCGGTCATTAGTGTGGATAAGTATATAGAATGGATAGAGATAGGAAAGCAAACACAAGATGTACGTGGTTCACCCAGATTGGCTACGTCCACGGAATAGAGGAGTTCTCATTAATTGTGAAGGGTTTACACAAGTACATAGGTTCAAGCTCTCCTTTAGTGAGTACAAGTGAATGATTTAGTACAAATGACATTAGGAAATATTGTGGGAGAATGATCTCGTAACCACGAAACTTCTAAGTACCGGAGTGTGGTATCGTCTTGACTTGCCTTATCTGTCTCATAGGTAGATGTGGCATCTTCTCTGGAAGTACTCTTCCTCCATCCAGGGGTGGTATCTGTAACTGGTGGAGATGCACAAGGTAATGTATCAATTTCACTTGAAGCTTACTTGTAGTTTCAGGCTTGGTCAAGCGCGATACAAACCATGTAGTAGGAGTCCCCCAAGTCGCCGAGCTAGGGGATCTGCTGAAAGAGGTGACAGACAAGGTAAGCAATCAGAGCTCCGGCTGATTGTTCACATTCTCCCTATCTTGCAGGCAGCATGAAGGATAAAGAGAAGAAAAATGAGAAGAGATGATATGGGATACTTTTGCTTTTGAAGAAGTAACTTTCCACAGGCTTATTCTTGAACTGGGCTGGAGGGTTTTCTGGTTTCCTCCAGAGTATAAGGCCGACTGAAGAATTTGAGGGTCAAAACAAGTCCATCAAATCTAGAGTACGTTCGACCCTGCTGATATGGGATACTTTTGCTTTTGACAGAGTAGTGGATGTATCGGCACGTGTGCTGTTACGCTTGTCTCCACATGCTTCCTTGTATCCTTCTCACTTGCCCTATCTGTTCCTCAGGCAGATGCGGTATCTTCCCTGGAAGCATAAGATGTTGAAGATGAGTACTCGAGAGCAATGCCAGGTAAGTAATCAGGTAAGGGGTTCCAGGCAGTCAGTTCCTGGCTGGAAGCTTGATTCCAAGTGCTGACTGATTGCTCTCTTTCTCCTTGTCTTGCAGGTAAGAACAAGGCCAAAGGAAAAGACAGGGAAAAAAGCATGATATGGGATACTCTTGCTTTTAACCCTGATGATATGAGATATTCTTGCTCTAGTATAGCTTGTTTACAGAGGTATTATCGGGGGGAAAGAAAGCTGAATATTTCGAAAGGCTTCGTTGGGAGTGCCCTCTCAGATAAGAGGAAGGGTTGAGCATTTTTGCAGGTCTGCCTGTCCGTTGGGATGGAGGTCGACATATATAGGAGTCTCCCTAACATCAAGTAATAATGCTATTCCTTTACCCTGCTTGGTCATAGCACGGTAGTGGGAGCTGCCAGCTTCACATGTTTTAACTCTGTCAGAGCACTTTGAAAAAGTGGTCTGTGTGGTATCTGGAAAGCTGATGTTGCGTGTGAAGATTACAGACAAGCTTTATCCAAGGAGATCCAGCTCTTGAAGTTGGGAAAGTGGTGCCTCTTCGGTTTTCGAACAAGCAATCCTGTCGGGGATCTGGCTCTCGAGATTCGGAGAACGATGCCTCTTCGATTTTTGAGAAAGCAATCCTGCTGGGGGTCTGGCTCTCGAGATTCGGGAAGCGGTGTCTCTTCGATTTTTGAGAAAGTAATCATGTTGGGAGTCTGGCTCTCGAGATTCGGAGGACGGTGCCTCTTCGATTTTGGAGCAAGCAATCTTGTTGGGAGTGTTTTCTCGAATGTGAGTAAAGGTTGGGCATGTTTGCTAGTCTACCTTGCCACGAAGCACAGAGGTTGACACACAGGGACTTTCCAATTATCCAGCAGTGGTACTGTTCCTTTACCCTCTCTTCGATTTTTGAGAAAGTAATCATGTTGGGAGTCTGGCTCTCGAGATTCGGAGGGCGGTGCCTCTTCGATTTTGGAGCAAGCAATCTTGTTGGGAGTGTTTTCTCGAATGTGAGTAAAGGTTGGGCATGTTTGCTAGTCTACCTTGCCACGAAGCACAGAGGTTGACACACAGGGACTTTCCAATTATCCAGCAGTGGTACTGTTCCTTTACCCTCTCTTCGATTTTTGAGAAAGTAATCATGTTGGGAGTCTGGCTCTCGAGATTCGGAGGGCGGTGCCTCTTCGATTTTGGAGCAAGCAATCTTGTTGGGAGTGTTTTCTCGAATGTGAGTAAAGGTTGGGCATGTTTGCTAGTCTACCTTGCCACGAAGCACAGAGGTTGACACACCGGGACTTTCCAATTATCCAGCAGTGGTACTGTTCCTTTACCCTTGTGGGTAATAATATGGTAGCTAGACCTTCAAAATTTATGTGTCTAAACTTTGTTAGTGTTGTTTCTTTGCTATTCTTTTACCCTTCTTGGTCAGAGCGATGTAGTGGGAGCTGCAAGCTTCACGTGTCTCAACTTTGTCAGAGAACTTTGGCAAAGTTATCTGTGGTACCCATGAGCTACTGTTGCGTGTGGGGGAAGTGGGTGATTGAACAGTACGATTCATGTGCTTTCTACTTCGCCAGAAATCTTCGACAGAATGCCCATAATTTCCGCAAAGCTGAGTGTGCGTGTGACAGGTGCTGACAAGGCTGGAAAAGTAGGTGCCTCTTCGATTTCTGAGATCGGCCCTCGTGGTCTCTGAGCAGCCCAGCTTTTGAGAAAGCAAGCCTCTTCGATTTCTGAGATCGGCCTTCGTGGTCTTTGAGCAGCCCAGCTTTTGAGAAAGCAAACGCCTCTTCGATTTCTGAGATCGACCCTCGTGGTCTCTGAGCAGCCCAGCTTTTGAGAAAGCAAACGCCTCTTCGATTTCTGAGCAGGCGCCTCTTCGATTTCTGAAGCTTCGTCGAGTGCAGATTTTTATAGGGGGTTGACATTAAGTTCCAAAGCACACTTGAATATCCACCAGTAGAAGCTCCATTCTTGCACTTCTAAGATCTTGATTTGTCCGACCTCTTCTCTCTTCAACACCTTTGAAAATGTCTGGCCCCTCCGACCGTCGTTTTGACTTGAACCTTGTTGAAGAGGCAGCCCCGCCTTCTCCAGACAACATATGGCGCCCATCCTTCGTCTCCCCTACTGGTCCTCTTACCGTTGGGGATTCCGTGATGAAGAATGATATGACCGCTGCGGTAGTGGCCAGGAACCTTCTCACTCCCAAAGATAACAGACTACTTTCCAAACGGTCTGATGAGTTGGCTGTTAAGGATTCTCTGGCTCTCAGTGTTCAGTGTGCAGGTTCTGTGTCTAATATGGCCCAACGCCTATTTTGCTCGAACCCGCCAAGTTGAATCATTGGCGGCTGAAGTGATGAGTCTCAAACAGGAGATTAGAGGGCTCAAGCATGAGAATAAACAGTTGCACCGGCTCGCACATGACTATGCTACAAACATGAAGAGGAAGCTTGACCAGATGAAGGAATCTGATGGTCAGGTTTTACTTGATCATCAGAGATTTGTGGGTTTGTTCCAAAGGCATTTATTGCCTTCGTCTTCTGGGGCTGTACCGCGTAATGAAGCTCCAAATGATCAACCTCTGATGCCTCCTCCTTCTAGGGTTCTGTCCAGTACTGAGGCTCCGAATGATCCCCCTCCGGTGCCTTCTCTTTCTGGGGCTCTACCGACTGCTGAGACTTCTCCTAAGCAACCTTTGTGAAGGCTCCCTCTTGTTTGTTTATTTTGACTCAAGTATATGTACATATTTGTAACTTATCGGGGATATCAATAAATAAGCTTTCCTCATTTCAACGTATTGTGTTAAATACACCAAAGCCTTCTTCGCTAAGTTCTTTGAATTTTTTTTTTGTTGAAGCTTGTATGTTGAAGCTTTGTGAGTGGAGCATGTAGGTTGAGGTAGTGTTCCCTTAATTTCCCGAGTGAGGAAAACTTCTCGGTTGGAGACTTGGAAAATCCAAGTCACTGAGTGGGATCGGCTATATGAATCTTAGAACGCCATTGTGTTCTGTCCTGTGTCATGTCCTCCGTTAGATCCAAGTACTCTAAGTCTTTTCTTAGGGTCTCTTCCAAAGTTTTCCTAGGTCTTCCTCTACCCCTTCGGCCCTGAACCTCTGTCCCATAGTCGCATCTTCTAATCGGAGCGTCAGTAGGCCTTCTTTGCACATGTCCAAACCACCGTAACCGATTTTCTCTCATCTTTCCTTCAATTTCGGCTACTCCTACTTTACCCCGGATATCCTCATTCCTAATCTTATCCTTTCTCGTGTGCCCACACATCCAACGAAGCATCCTCATCTCCGCTACACCCATTTTGTGTACGTGTTGATGCTTCACCGCCCAACATTCTGTGCCATACAGCATCGCCGGCCTTATTGCCGTCCTATAAAATTTTCCCTTGAGCTTCAGTGGCATACGACGGTCACACAACACGCCGGATGCACTCTTCCACTTCATCCATCCAGCTTGTATTCTATGGTTGAGATCTCCATCTAATTCTCCGTTCTTTTGCAAGATAGATCCTAGGTAACGAAAACGGTCGCGCTCTTTGGTATTTCTTGATCTCCGATCCTCACCCCTAACTCGTTTTGGCCTCCATTTGCACTGAACTTGCACTCCATATATTCTGTCTTTGATCGGCTTAGGCGAAGACCTTTAGATTCCAACACTTCTCTCCAAAGGTTAAGCTTTGCATTTACCCCTTCCTGAGTTTCATCTATCAACACTATATCGTCTGCGAAAAGCATACACCAAGGAATATCATCTTGAATATGTCCTGTTAACTCATCCATTACCAACGCAAAAAGGTAAGGACTTAAGGATGAGCCTTGATGTAATCCTACAGTTATGGGAAAGCTTTCGGTTTGTCCTTCATGAGTTCTTACGGCAGTCTTTGCTCCTTCATACATATCCTGTATAGCTTGGATATATGCTACTCGTACTCCTTTCTTCTCTAAAATCCTCCAAAGAATGTCTCTTGGGATCCTATCATACGCTTTTTCCAAATCTATAAAGACCATGTGTAAATCATTTTTCCCATCTCTATATCTTTCCATCAATCTTCGTAAGAGATAGATTGCCTCCATGGTTGAGCGCCCTGGCATGAACCCGAATTGATTGTCCGAAACCCGTGTCTCTTGCCTCAATCTATGCTCAATGACTCTCTCCCAGAGCTTCATTGTATGACTCATTAGCTTAATACCCCTATAGTTCATGCAATTTTGTACATCGCCCTTATTCTTGTAGATAGGCACCAAAGTGCTCGTTCGCCACTCATTTGGCATCTTATTCGTTTTCAAAATCCTATTGAAAAGGTCAGTGAGCCATGTTATACCTGTCTCTCCCAAAACTTTCCACACTTCGATTGGTATATCGTCTGAGCCTACTGCTTTTCTATGCTTCATCTTCTTCAAAGCTACAACCACTTCTTCCTTCCGGATTCTACGATAAAAAGAGTAGTTTCTACACTCTTCTGAGTTACTTAACTCCCCTAAAGAAGCACTCCTTTCATGTCCTTCATTGAAAAGATTATGAAAATAACCTTTCCATCTGTCTTTAACCGCGTTCTCTGTAGCAAGAACCTTTCCATCCTCATCCTTGATGCACCTCACTTGGTTTAGGTCCCTTGTCTTCTTTTCCCTTGCTCTAGCTAGTTTATAGATATCCAACTCTCCTTCTTTGGTATCTAGTCGCTTATACATATCGTCATAAGCCGCTAACTTAGCTTCTCTCACAGCTTTCTTCGCCTCTTGCAAACTTGACCCTCCCCAATTACATAAATGTTTACAAATTGAAAAGACACTAAGATACTTAGGTACTTAGTGAATAAGACCCTTCAGTGCACATGTAAGAAGAAATCATAAGCGAAAAGAAGCACTAACGGTGCACAATTACTTTATCAGGAAGCTTTTTCACAAACTGATCAGCAGCGTATCTCCAGTCTGAAGCACTGAAATCATGGAAAAAGAATTTCACATGAAATGCAAGAAATAAAAAAAAAAAGGTTTACAAAATGGCAAAAAGAAAAAATTAGTCAGGGAAGGACAAAAATAAGAATTTAGGCCTTGTTTGGTTTCTAGGATTGCATTGGAATACATAACTCATTATATTCAAGGTATATTGAAGATAGAGGCAATTGATTTTTCATTTTGAGGGGATTAGACATGAAGAAAAATTATCCCTTCTAATCTTACCATTTGGTGGGGATTGGAATAGAGAAGTTTCCTTAATAAGTGATCCACCTACCTTCAAGTTGGACACAATTCTATCATTTCTTCCTTCAACATACCTTCAATATTTTGGGTTATCCAATCCAATCAAGTCCTAGACACCAAGCGAGGCCCTAAAATGAGAATATCTTCAATTAAATAGAGGGTGATATTTGAAGAGAAGTCTGTCAAAAGCTCAAACATAGGAAGAAGAAATAATTGAAATCACAGAATGGCAGACAAGGTAGAGGGTACAAAAGTGATTTAAGGGATGAGATTCAACTCTTGTTCATCTGTACATCCTCTTTAAGGGTAGGTTTTGAGCACTACACGTTTTATGTAGTCTTTGTTTTTACACAAGGCTGCACATAAGTTAAAGAAATGAGATTCCCAAAAGAGGCAATCAGACTTTAGGGGTGTAAATGAGCTAAATCAAGCCATACATTAGGGTGCTTAGGGTTTAGGCTTGGCTTGACTTAAGTATTCTGAAGTCAAGCTTGAATCAAGCTTGGCTAAAATATTTCTTTCCGAAGTTGAGCTTGATTTGGTTTGTATCTGGGACGGGGGGCCAATCTTGAGCTCATCCTGGCTTGGTGTGAACACGAGAAAGTGAGTCTTACAAGTCAAGCTCAAATGAACCATCCAGCACTCAAGCTGAAGTCAAGTGATCTCGAAGTGATGAAACTTGAGCTGCTCATACAAAAGTTGAGCCTGATTTTTAACAAGCTCAATATTTTGTGTATATCTCTTCTATGCGTCCAAGCACAATATGAATCCAAGTGTCTCTAGCCTAGTCAATAACCTACCTAAATCATCTTGTCGTTAGACTTACTTCACTCCCATCCAATCCAATGTAAGCACTGGCCTGCATTCCAAAACCCCATTTTCTCCCTATCTCCACAAACCCACTTCCCTAGTGAAATGGCAGTTCAATATTATCATAAAATCACATTATAATTTAACTATGTTTTTACACATTATCAAGTATATTGAAAAAATAAGAAAGACCCACAAACTAAAATTGGGAAGATGATGTACCTGCCGATGATCCCATTGACCATAATGACAAGATGTTCCGGGGCGGCGCTGCCCTTGGGGTTGGCGGCAAAGACATCTTCCCCGCCGCTGTCGATCTCCACCTTAATCCCCTGGTGAAGGGGGTCCCGGAAGCATCCTCCGGCTACAAATCGGCGGAGCAAGTCCATCCGAGTCCGAGTGATCCACAGCCCACGGTTGGAGGAGCTAAAGCCCAGGTGGTTGCTGGAGCACAGCGCCTCGAAACAGCGATGCTTTCGCGTCGGGGTGGCGGCACGGAGGACGGGGATTGCGGAATAGAGCGGAGAATTGGCCGCGATCATGTGTTTTGAGAGAGAGAGATTTGGGGTTCGAAAAAGTGTTGGGGTAACGTATGATGAGCAGTGCAAGAATCCTAAATTGCAAATAACAAACATCTATCAGAGTTAATAAGATGAACAGAAGAAAGTCAGAATAGAACCATCTTGTACTAACTGTGATCTTCTAACCAAAAAATATATTTTTACTCTGAAAAAGTCACTCATGTGATATTCACTTATAACACATTTTTATCATTTTGATTAAACTCAAAATTTTTAAACCATTTTCATAGTTTTCTTTTCTATTATAATATTATTGGACCATGTTCCCAAACTGAATAAGTCTCCTATTAGTGATGGAGCTAGTTTTCTTTATAGAACTCGAATTTACCATATGAGCATGGACGTTCTTTTATATATACACAAACTATAACCAACTCTCACCGCTGTACTAACCATTGTATCCGCGTTCAAAATATAAATACCGTTAACCATATTACCATTTTTTTATGACATAATGCTAAAGAGACTAAATTTTATGATGAGAACTAAAGAAAATTTGCCTTAGTGCATTTCATCTACAATTTTAATTGAAAACAAATTATATGTAAAGTGGACCTTAATTTTGTTATGCGGCACTAATACCACATGTAGAACATATTTTGAAAGCATAAAAATAGCAAGACACTAGGATCAAGAATATGAAGCGAGTCAACATAAATAAGAGATGAAACTTATCTGTAGAGTATCGAGAAAGGTTGGCATTGGAGACCTCTTGATTGTCTTCTACCAAGGTTCTAAAAATTGTTAGGTGCTAGTCGGGCAATGGGCAGGGGTCTAGAGTGTGACAACATGTCCCTACTTTTACAATTTTTATTAATTTTAAATGAGTGAATTGACGAAAATGCCCTAGAGGCGAGGGTATTGACTTTCGTTGACTAGCTTATAGTGAGACTTACAAAATGTTCTTTTAGCATATCCCTGCAGTACTCGACAATACGAACGCGTAGGGGCAAGCAGAATCAAAACCGTATTTACGATATGGATTTTAAGGAACTATAAATCCAAAAAGTACTTTTGTAAAGATTACTATTTATTATTTTATATATTTCCATTAATTATTATGTTATTATTTTAAAATTATTTTGTGGGAAATGAGGGAAGGGAGAGTAATGGATGGAGGAAAAAAGGGAGAAAGCAGAGGGGGCTACTGCCCAATTAGAGGGGAAAAAGGAAGGGGGTTGGCCAAATCGGGAGAGGGGAAAGAAAGGAGGGTGACCAATGGAGAAAGAAGAAAGGAAAGGAAGGGAGAGGGAAGAGAAGCACGGTATCATGGATCCTTTACCGGCTCTTTGCGACCTGACCCGCGAAACTGTGGAACCTAATGCATTCCGACAGTTCCTCCAGGCAAAATTCGGTGATTTAAGCTAAGCCACCACCTGGGAATCACTCCATGACCTTTCCTCTACCCATTCCACCCCAAATTTGATGAAATTTGGCCTTGAAATTGTGAAACCCGCACGGTGGGTGCAACGGGGTTTGTGACAGCTATCCACCAATCCTGAAGCTAACTCCGTCAACCACTACCACCAATAGACTCCCCTCAACCTCAGGAGCAAAGCCCAAGCAGTGGAGGAGGCGTCAGAACTAGTCTGGAGGTCAAATTAAGGACACCAAAATTCTAGGGTTTCGGCGGATTCGAGGCAATTCCGAGCACTTCATGGCCAAATTGGACTTGGCCACATGTATGAAACTTGCTCCCTTTGTTGAGATCTTCATTTCTGTAAAATTTGAGAATTTTTTGAAATAGTTGAATTTTTTGACTAGTTGGGGCTGTCGACCGCTGCGTGGGCAGAGATACCACTTGACCTCCCTAGGCTAAAATGGGTGCCCCGATTCCATATTAGACATCCGATTGATAAAATTCTGTTGTTTAGTTATATTTCCATTAAGGGCTGGCACTTGGTTATCATATGATTCTGTTGGATCGTCACCAAACTTTAATATGTTATAGTACGTAATATTTGAAGACAATAAGAACTTATGGATTGGGAATCCGACATACGGATCTTCCCGAATTAGATTTCTAAGTTTGTAAAATCAAATGTTGGCCGCCACTTAATTGTAACATTGTCGAAGATCCGATCGTTGAATCGTTCCGAAACTTTAGGATGTTGTTCTAGAAGCTTATTGAAACTCTTAGGAAGTTACGAATTGAAAAACCGAGGTGCTGATCTTCCCGATCAAGTTATGTAGGGTTATGGACCCTATCGTCGACCTTTGACCGACGGTTGACTTTTGGTCAATGGATTACAAATAATTCTAGAATGTCGTTGGCGATGTATTTTATGTAAGTTACGTGTTCTATCAATACAAATTCTGAGATGTGATTTGATATTTGTTCTAGGCGACGATCGTTCATGACACCGCGATATTTGTGTTACGGAGTTGTAGCGCGGACTTTAGGTGATTGGGTCGTTTCTTTTATATAGTATATACATATTTGTTAGTTTCCATTTATACATTGAAAGAGAATTTACAACATATGCCTAGCTTAGACTAATGCTTATAAGAATTAGTGAAATAACGAAAAATTACGAAGTGATCATACCTACGACTATGAATGATATTATGTTGATTGGAACTATCGAACCACTATGGCATGACTATATTTATGTTTTATGCTCATCATTTGCTGCACCGGTGTTAGTGCTTGCCCAGGGTCAGGGCCAATCTTTCACGTGTATGTTCACATCCTCACCGCACACTTGCCTTGGATCCAAGTAGGTGCCAGTCCTTTTGTACAAGTTGCAATAGGCAACTCCGACTCGCATGTGACCGTGAATAGCGCCAGTCTTCACGTGATTGTAGCAGTATAGTGTATATCATTATTACACCCAGTCCTGTTCATGTCAAAATATCTCTGCTTGAACTCGTGTGTCAGCATGTGTTGATGAGCACTTGGTTTGATATGTTTGCTTATGCAAAAAGTATATGATTACTGATGTCATGCACTTATATATGAACTATTGTGTTGTATTGATATCTTGATATTTTGCAGGCTACGGTGAGTATTTCCATACTATATGTAGTACGTATATCTTGGAAACTATACAAGTTTTACGGCAATGGGTTATAACGTTTTCAAAGGTTTTTATTAAAACTTTATTTTCAGGTCCACTCACCCTTGTTTTTCGCCCCTTCAGGTTTTAGTAGCTTAGCTTTCTTATTGATGAGGATTCTTGGCAAATCTTGGTGTAGATGATTACCTTCGATGATATAATTTTCACCCTATCTTATTGTACTATACTGTACTTATGCTCTGACATCATGTGTGAAATGAGTTCATTCCCGGTCACAGCATACTCTTATATTTAGGCACTTTTAGGTTTAAATTTATTCACATATTCCACCACACTACATTTTATGGTTTCATCACCTTCTAGATGTCAGCCAGCACAACTCGATTAGGAGTCCAAGTGGACATTCCGGGTTAGGGTGTGTCATGGTGCCTAGGCGGTTAGGCAGGGTTTAGGCGGGCGCCTAGGCGGCCTAGGCGGATTTGCACCTAAAAAAAACTATACTTGTATGGATAATAAGTGTCTATTTACACCTAAAAAAAACTATACTTGTATGGATAATAAAAGAATGATAAAATGCAAAAATAGAAGTAGAAGAATACACAAATTATATATATTCAAAAAGTTCAATATTTAAAAAACAGTAAACATATAATCATAATGAGGAGGATTTGGATGATAGACTAAATTCTTCTTGTTCATGAATGATGATCCTTGCATTGGATTGGACATAAACTAAATTATTTAACCTTGTTGTAACTAGTTTATTATTTCTTTTCTTTGTATGTATCCCCTCAAAAGTGCTCCAATTCGTTTCACTATTGGATGAACTTGTAGTAAATCCATCATTTGCAAATTAGGTACACCATTTCCATAAGTATATCACCATGAAACCAAAAGAGAAAAAAAGCACACAATTAATAAAAAATATAAAAAAATATAAAAAAACCGCCTAGGACCGCCTAGGTGCCGCCTAGCTCTCCACCTAGAAGCCGCCTAGCGCTAGCTCTAGACCGATTTTTCGAAACGATTTGCCCAAAATCGGGCCAGGCCTTCACCGCCTAGCGCCTAAGTGTTGCCTAGGCCAATTTTTAGAACACTATCTTCTACTCTCTACAATCTAAAATGGTCTTGATAGTGAATATCACTTAGCATTGGGATATGGCGTGTATTGTGAAAACATGGACAATCCTTATATAGTTGCTAGGATATCTCTCAATCAAATCTATCATTAAATGAAGAATCAGAATCATATAATTTATGTCCTATCTTAATAAGTCTTACCAAATAGGGATTACGTAATTGGTTAATAAGAGTTTAGACTCAATTATTTTAACCATATTGGGGCTGCAAGATCACTAAATACTAAGTCACTTATATAATGTTACTCGAGAATCAAGTGATTTGATTGATAAGTCATTGGTACTCACAATATTTTTTTTACATTGCAAGCTCCAATGATGCTTCTAAACATAAGGCTTCATTATCTCTATTAATTAATGAAACCCTCTTTGTTAACCAAAAGAAGGTGAAAATACAACTTAGTCTTCTATCACATAAAAAAGATGATGGGCAATAATGTAATTTCACAGGTCCAAACTTTACTATTTTTTTATTGAAGCTTCACTTACAAGTGATGTTAAAATATCTCTAATATTTAAAATTAAAAAAAAAACCAAAAAAAAATAAAAAATCTCCCACTCCCCCCACGTTCTCTCTCTCTCTCTCTCTCTCTCTCTCTCTCTCTCTCTCTCCTTCTCATTTTCTAAAAAAATGTGTTCATACGCACAAAGTGTGTAGGCAAATGCGAGTTTGTATTATAGGATTTGCATGACTTGGATAAGTTACTCGATTAAATGAATGTTGAATGAAAATATAGTATATTTTGTCCAAATGAAAGCAGAAGATGAAGAAATCATGAAATAAACTTATCCTTCCTAATACGCTAATCCCCACAAAAAAAAAAAATGAGTGGGATAAGCTTTCTTCTGGATTTCTTCATCTTCTACCTTCACTTAAACAAATATATAAATTTGACATCCATATTTATTTTTTACTTTCATTGAAGTTAGAGAGTTTTCCAAGCCAGCCCAATTCTAAACAACTAACAATCCCTCAGCCTCAGATTTCTGCGTTTGAGTGTGAGGCTTACCAGGAGTATTAATAGGTTTACTAGAAGTCATTCCAGCCTTTGCTATCAACTTATAGCATATTTTTCCTGATTCACAATAATACTACCCATTCTCCTTGTAGGAAATCTGCAAACCCAAGAAGTATGTCAACTTATTGACTTTGTTCCTGATTCACAAGGGATATTTTTTTATAAAAATAAATTAATTTTGTAGTAGCAAGTAAGGCCATTTTTAATCGAAATGGCTAAATATAGCTCCTGTCAAGAATTATAGCCCTGCAAAATAATATTTTTAAATGAATTGTGTCAGACCATACTCATATACCATCTCCAACCGAAGGGGCTAAACATAACCCCCTCAATAATTTTTTAGTTTTAAGTTTATGCTTTAAATTTATTAGTTAATACAATTAACAACCGTTGAATGTTTTCAAATCTAGTTGTTGAATTTGAATCAATTATTGCAATTGAAGAGCTGGACCACAAAAAATGGACTATGAGGGAAGGCTACATTTGGCTAGCCTAATGCTCATTTAGCCAAATAATGGTCTGATGGGCTCCATAGAATTATAGTCCAGCCATAAGTTGGAAATGAGTTTTTCGACAAATCAAGTCATTTTTTTTGCTTTTAAACATTTAACTTTCTTTAGAGATGGCCTAAGAAAGCTGCAAGCTGTAAATCATTAACTTTTGTTCTTTAGACCTATAGTTTCTCTATTCATATAAACTATAGAGCAGAATATATCTTTGCTCTTATTTTTATGTTTCCATCTCCATGGGTTTTTATACTTAAATTTAATTGAATAAAAATAATCCCACGAATTTATTCCTTCAAATGGGAGACGAATCTATCATTAATTTGGAGCATAAAATAACCAGCAGCCCACCCTAAATTATGAAATTAGAGAAATTAATCATTAAATAACAGCTAAATGAGACTTTGTGGCCTAACTACAAAGAAATGTGGCAATCATTATCGAACATGGGTGCCACCCCGGAGTTTTGACACTATATACCCCAAAATCCAACTACTACGGCAGCTCCAAATTATAAATAAACACAATGAACCATTTACACAACACTTTCCGAATCAAAAGAATATCAAGACTTTCATAAAATGCATATAACATTGTACTACTGCTTCACCATCACCATTTTTTTGCTCCTTAATATCTCAAGAATTGCAGATGCTGCAACAAGGCAAACCAAGTACCTAAGCCAGGCCAACCAATTTATGGATCCTCAAAATGCTGCTCGGTCAGCCAACAGAATCCCACCATTGGCGTGGGATGCAAAGTTGGCAAAGTATGCACAATGGTACGCAAGCCAAAGGCGGTTCGACTGCGCGTTGAGGCACTCGAACGGGCCTTACGGGGAGAACATTTTCTGGGGGAGTGGCATCGAGTGGACGCCAGCTCAGGCAGTGACGGCTTGGGTTTCAGAACGGAAGTCTTACAATTACTGGGCAAATTCTTGTGCTACAAGGCAGCAATGTGGGCATTATACACAGATTGTGTGGAGGTCAACAAGCAAAGTTGGCTGTGCTAGAGTCAATTGTTTTGGTGGTAGGGGTGTCTTCATGGTTTGCAACTATGACCCTCCGGGGAATTACATTGGAGAAAGGCCTTACTAAAGTAATTAATTTTCCTTAAATTTTTCATAAAAATTGTTTGCTACATACATATGCACTCCTATACCTTCATGTGCCTTTGTGGCAATTGAGTACGCATCATTATGTGTATTTTTGTTAATCTATGTCCCGGATAACTACTAAAATTAATAAAAGGTGCATGAACTTTGAGGATGATTGAATTCATAGTTGTATCATTTTCCTTTACATAGGTTCCTCTTGAATAACTGGTGCCATCACATGGATAAAATCTTTTTGGGTTTTGCGTTGTCAAGCCATGCACACTCATTTTAGCTTCTCAGACACCCTTCTTTATTTTAGATAATCAGATTGATTAAATCAAATGAAAACAATGATATCAAAGAAAAAAACAAAATTAAATAGGAGAGGTAAGAGGCTGTTAAGGGGGGCGTGTTTATTGTTTAACATTTCCCTTATCATATTTCTTATCTGACGATTTGTCATATGACAATTTAGCAATATTATATATGTGCATAATTTAGGAGTGTCCAATAAGTAAATAATATTTCTCTATTTCGTCACCATATAAACTTGGGCTTTCCGAATAAAACACACACACACACACACACATATATATATATAGGGATAAGATCAAGGAAAGATTTTGACAAATATTTTGACACTTCTTTTTAACCTTTAGATTTTATTAAGTAAATAATATTTCTCTATTTCGTCACCATATAAACTTGGGTTTTCCGAATAAAACACACACACACACACACATATATATATATATAGGGATAAGATCAAGGAAAGATTTTGACAAATATTTTTACACTTCTTTTTAACCTTTAGATTTTATATCATCCAATGGTCCTAATTAAAAGTGATGTGGAGGATTTAAATCAATAAATAACATGAATGATGACATGGAATATAAATAATCATAAATAAATAAAATCTGCAAAACGTAGGAGGGAGGGATGAAGACCTCCATTGATTTCGTGAAAGCCCAGAACAACCGAATTTGGTCTTTCTTCATGACAATTTGACCACAAGGAATAAAGGGTGATAATTACAACTTAAGAACTATCTAAAATTGAAGATATCAAAGTTTTACCATAACCCAATTCTCACCCAAAGATACTAAGAACGAAGACTTAATTTAGGGTTTAATTTTGTTTATTTAACATGTGACGACCCGTCCCAATTGTCATTATAATTTTCTTTCCTGAGTATGTGAGATGACAATTATGCCCTCGGTGGCTTAGTGACGTGGATGTACATATGTAGTTTTAAATAATCTTCTTTGCTATCGTAATAAAATCGTACTCGACGTCACGAACGCGTCGATGCGAGTTAGGGTCGAATCGGATTCCTAATGAAAATGTTGCGACGATTAAAGAACGAGTTAGGGTAGAAATATATTGTTGGGTTGACTATATTTTATTCACCAATCAATTAGTTCTTGTTATGTCTAGCCCAATCAGATTTTAGGTTGAATTGTTATTTTCCTTGGGCTAATTGGACCTTAAAACTTTCTCTCTTTCTCTTTCTCTTTCTCACGGCAGCCCAATCAGGGCCTTACTTCTTTTCTTTCTGGCCAATCCATGATCACACACACACATGTACACACACACACACACACGTATCTTTCACCCTCTCCTTCTTTCTCGATTCTTCTTCCCTTTCGTACAATCGTGAGACCACCACACTCAAACCATACCAAAACATCACAGATCAAGTCCTTGGACACTACCATCATCTTCTTCACAACCTCATTCACACCTTTGTTTCCTCGAACGGTCATCGGAAACATAAGAACGGCCCAGAAGCTCTGCCACGGTGGGTTTTAAGGACGTTGTGATCATGGATGATTTGCATGATTTTAAGGCTCGGGATAGACTCTAAGAAACTCCCTTACCATCTTGGAGTGGGATTGTAGTGGTTTGGACATCGAAACACACGGGTTTATGAAGTTGTAGAGTTGGCAAGAGGTATCAAAGGAAATTCTGACCATTTTCCGTTGGTTTTAGGACCTCAAATAGAAACCGGCGAACCAGATGGCGGCAGGCGGCGGACTCCAGCGAGTCACCGGAGAAGAAGGAGCATATCCGTTAACTTTAACGGAATATTCTAATGGTGTTAGATGAAACGTACCCCAAGGACAAGTGTGGACAAGCGAGATTAAGGGGGGCTACGATCCTGCTACTTATCAGTGAGTGGGCATTTGCTTCCTATATATATATCGTGGTTTCCAGAACATTTTTATAATGATTTATGCTTTAAATGCCATGTTGAAAATGAGTTGCATTTTAAGTATTGCATTATTATAAATCGTGAATTATATCATTTGATGTTGCGGAGGCTCAGGTAAGCTTCAGGTGAGTATATTGTGATGGTATTGGTTGCATGACACATTGTTATGCATAAATGCATTTAGAGCTCATCATTGTTGCACCCCGATGTTAGTGCTCCCGCCTGAGGCTAGGGCACAGTCCTTCACATGATGTTCACCTCTTGCATCACACGCTCACCTTGGATCTAAGTTTGGTGCTAGCCCTGTCATACAGACCACAATAGGTGGTTCCGACTCGTAGGTGACTTGCCACGCAACCTTCACGTGATCGTAGCACTTGAGCGTATATATTTACACTCTGCCCTGTCGTACAGACCACCATAGGTGGTTCCGACTCATGTGCTAGCATATATTGATGAGCTATAGGTCCAGTCGTACATGTCACATTAGGTGACTCCGATTGGCATATTATTTTATATTAATTTCACCTGGCTTACATCTTTTGGTGCGGAAACGTTATGGCATGGCATACTTCAGTTTTTACTGACCTTGTGCATTGATATTCATATGTATATACGTAGCATTATTTTTTGGAACTATACGGGTTTTACAGTGAGGGGTTATTATGTTCAGAAAAGATAAATGTGTTTTCAAACGTTTTGTTTTTGCCCACTCACCTTTTTGTTTTGCGCCCCTCCAAGTCCTAGGTACCTGTACATCTTGGTGGCTCACGAGGACTTCTCGGTGGTTCTGACGATCTACTAAATAACTGTAGGGATCTTCTCCCTGTATGTACAATTAATACTTAGTTAATTCGACTGCATTTTCGTTTACCGATGCTCTGATATGTGTGTATCTTATACTTGATCACTTCCACGCACTTACATATTATCTCTAGTTTAAGTAAGTTTAGTTTTGGTTTTTACTTAGTCACATTTTCTTATTATTATCATCACTTATGTTGCGCATTTGGCTACGTCACCCTCACATGACGGCCAACACGTCTCAACTTCGGTCGGGGTGTGTCAATTTGGTATCAGAGCCCTAGGTTGGGCAGTCCTGTATTTTTGTTTAAGCCCTAATTATTTTGGTATCTTATGTCAGAACCATGCTGCCTCGTAGAGAGCCACATACTTCTTCTGAGTCTAATTTTCCAGATATTGGACAACTTGGTGAAGCTATTGCTAATGTTATTCAGTATTCACTTTGTCCTTTTCGAGACAGTATATAACTTGAAGTTAAATAATTTCTTTGGCAATGAGGAGTTCGAGGGAGCTGAGCGTTGGCTCAACCATGTTGAGAAAACCTTTCGGGTGATGCAGCAATAGAAAAATATTTCTAATGATAGATGGGTCGAGACAACCACTTGGTTCTTGTGTTAGGAGGCTGCATCTTGGTGGAGACAAGAATCTTTTCAGTTGATAGCTGAAAATGCCACAAATTGGGAGATTTTCAAGCATTTATTTCAGAGGAGATTTTTACCTCCGAAGTATTTGGATCATAAGAGGGAAGAATTCTCGAATTTGAAACAGGGGAAAATGTCAGTTATAGATTACCATCGAAAGTTCACAAATTTATCTCGATATTGTCCAGAGATTGTTGCAAATCCTGCTGAGATGCTCCGACATTTTAAGTGGGGTACTCGTAAGGAGTTGCGTTCTATGGCTACTTTGACTCCTTGTTTTACATATCAAGAATTTCTTGAGGTTCTACTCTGGGTTGAGGACTCCGAGAATGCTCCAGATGATAGTGATGAGGAGGAAGAGAAAGGTAATGCTCAGAAAAATAATACTAGTAAGGATAAAGGGCAATAATCCCACTATCTTCGTAAGACACATAATTTTAAATGAAGTGGTACTAGCTCTGGTTCATCCAGTGGTGGTTCGAGTTCTACTGCGCCATGGAGGGGCAGCCGATCTTCAGGAGGTTTCCGATTCCAGAGACAGAGATTCTAACAGTTCTGGTGCTCCACTTTGTTGAAGATGCAATAATCGACATTTTGAGGAGTGTAGACGAGGTAGCAGTGGATGTTTTACTTGTGGCCAGATGGGGCATTTGGCCAACCAATGCTCGCAGAATCAGTAGAAACCGCATAATCACTAAAGGGAGAATTGAAAGTAAGTTTCAATTCACAATCAATTAGTAAGAGTTCTAATCGCTCACTGCCTCGCTAAAAGAAACCTAATGGATCACACACTGTGTAAGGTAATGATGGAAGGATATAACAAAGATGAGTAAGGACAGCTAAATAGTTTAGTTGTGTATGATCAAGAATAATTAATTAGTTATTTAATCATACGAAAGGTTAATATTGGGCTTCGGAGCCCAAATGGTTTTTGGTCCACAAGGTCCATTGAGTTTAAGTTGTATGAAAAACTAAAACAAAATGGGAACTAACCCTATAACTTCTACCAAGGCCAGCCATACAGAGAGGGAGTGTGATGGTGGAATTATTACAAGTTTGCCACTCACTTGGAAAGAGATATAAAGGCAACTTTATAGCCTTAACCTCATTATGGTTTTCTTTAAAGAAATATGAGAGAACATAAGCCCTCATTTTCTCTTTAGGAGGCTAGCCATGTAGGAGGGGGATACTATCATCTTCCTCCTCCTATATCACTCATGTTCTTCCCTCAATCCTTCCTTGGTGTCGAAACTTAGAGGCATCCACGTTTGGTGGCTTTTGGAGAATCCTTTCTTCCATTCAAATCCAAGAAGACATGGAGTTAAAAAGTAAAGTTCATCCATCCATATCCATGGAGCCAAGGAGCAAGGATGCAAAGGAATGAATGCTCTGAAAAGCAAAGAGGAGCTTCAAAGGTATAAAGTATCTCAACTCATTTTTTATTTTGAGTGGAGTCTTGGTTCACCACCACTAATAGTCTTTGAATTTCATGGTTTAAGTTTTGTTTTAGAG